GAATTTTAGCCTGACTTTCTTCTGTAGAAATAACTTGGCAGTATGTTTCTGTTTCCATCTTTGGAATTTTGGAGAGCTGACATTTTCTGAAATATGCAAATGTGATAATACAATAGGATATATAAGTCATTTCTACCCTGCTCTTAGTACTGTGAGATTTAGGCAAGGCCCTTGGCAGTCTTTGAGCTTAGTTCCTTCATCTGAGATGAAGGCTCTTATTAGACAATTTTCAATGTTTAAGTGATACTTCAGAATCTTAACCCAAAATAGTAAGTTGTCTGCATGTGCCTTTTGTTAGTTACATCAGGCCCTGTAATTAAATAGATCGTACGTTTTTTATTTAGAGACAGGGTCTTACTAAGTCACTATGTTGCTCAGGCTGGGGTCAAACTTGGCAGTCTTCCTGACTACCTTCCAGAGTGCTGATATTACAGGTATTTACCACCATGCCAGGCTTATCGTATTTATTCTTTACTAATAGTTTATAGTCTAAAGATATTTTAAACTTGTCATGATTTTATTAATCTCTTCCTTTGTCTCAGAGCAAGGTGGTGATAGATATAGTATCCAGTGTTTACTTGAGATGCAGTGTTTCAAAACTGGGATTTTTCTATAAAAATTTTTTGAGTTACAAAAATACCATTTTGTTGTTTTGCAGTGGTGGGGATTGAATTGTGCTTGGCTTTAAAGACATTTGAAAATATATAATAAAAGCATAAAGAAATGTGTAAGAATTGTCCATAATCCCTTCTGCTTAGGGATAATCAGCATTAAAGGTTTTTGCATTTAATTTTAAGATTTTATTTTGCAAACTAATAATTTTGGGGTCTAGGTATATTAGTCACCAAATACTAAAATAATTTTGGGGAAATATGTTTGATTTTTTTTGTTGTTGTTATTAGGGATTGAACCCCAAGATCTCTCATCACGAACAAGGCAAATGCTCTACCACTGAGTTATTTATCTCCATTCCCCATCTCCCCCTTTTTGGTACTGGGGATTGAACTTGGGTCCTTGCACTTGTAAGACATATCTCCATCCCTTTTAAAGATAGAAAGTCACTAAGTTGCCCAGATTGTCCTTGAACGTGTGATCCTCCTGCCTCAGCCTCCCAAATAGCTGGCTTGTTTAAGAATAGGTGGCTTATTTTAGAGTGTGTGTGTGTGTGAGTGTGTGTGTGTGTGTGTGTAGTTGTGAAATAGTGCATTGATGAAAGTGTACCTGAAAGTTGTGTTGCTTCAGCTTGAGGTATATAGAAGAGTATATAAGTGCCATGGTGAAGGTCTGTGAGGATTTTCATTGCTTTCTCTGGCATGGATTGGGTTGCTGGGACACTATTACTAGTCACTTGTTAGGTGAATAGTAGTCATGATTTGACCCTTGGACCAAGCAAGTAACATTGAAGTGTAGCTACACTGGCATGGCTGCAAAAGTGGTGGGGTGGTTATTGTTGTTTTGTTAAATTCTTTTTGGCTTAATTCTGAATTTGGGATGACATTGTTAAACTTACGGATAAATCATGACCTTCATGTCCTTACTTGGGCATCTATCCCATTTAACAACCTGCCTCAGAAGACAGGGTCTTACTGTCTAGAATCCCTCTTTTAAAATCCATTTTTAGCTGTGTGTGGTGGGTGTGTGTGTGTGTGTGCCTGTAATCCCAGCACTTGGGAGGCTGAGACAGGAAGATTTCCAGGATTTCAAGGCCAGCCTAGACAATATAGAAGACCCTGCCACAAAGAAAAAAATCCATTTTTAAATTGGGTGTGATTGTGCATACCTTTACCAGTAGTAGTCTGAGAGCCTGAGGCTGAAACATTGAGGATGTGAGCCCAACCTGGGCAACTTAGTGACTTAACAAGATCTTGTATCAAAATAAAAATGTAAAAAGGTGTAGGGATATAGCTCAGTCCAGAGTCCCTGGATCCAATCCCTTTTATCTTTCCTGTGTTACTTTTTTCTTGTTGTTAAGATAAAATACCTGACACCCAAAGTTAGGAGGGGAAGAGGTTTATTTGGTTTACAATTCGTAGAGATTTCATTCCACAGCCAGCTGGCTCCAAGACAGGGATGGCAAACAGGCCTTGCAGAGGAGAAACAACATGGCACTCACATGATACCAAAGGCAACGAGATTTTAGCAGCACCTTTCTGCCCACTTTATCTTTTTCAGACTAATCACTCACTTGTAGTGGTTTAGTAATCACACAACCTTAACCCTAGTATCTATCATACATTCCAGATTCAGCTACCTCTGAAAAAGAAAGATCCACCTCATCTGCACAAGGCTTGGGGGATGGGGGAATCTAGACAGAAACAGTAACACTCACCCCAAACCCCAAAACAAAAACATTTTATTCATTTATTTCACAGTACTGGGAAATAAACACAGGGCCTTTGCAAAAATTCCATTTTATTTATTTTTGGTTGAGACAGGGTCTTGGCTTTTAGTGTATACTGGCCTTGAAGTGATGCTGCTGCCTCAGCCTCCTGAGTGCTGGGAGTACTGGTATGCAACCAGCAAAAATTCCATTTTATAAACATGTTTTCAACATGTGTGTATATGTACTAACTCCCCAAAATAATTATAAAAATATGTTCTCATGTTTTGTTTTGAATTAGAAACTCCCTTTTTCTTTTGGTAAATGTACTTGTATAAAAATTTATATGAATATTAAAAGGCATCTGCTAGCAATGTTTACCATGTGCTAGACACTGTTCTAGGTGCTATATGTCTTATTACACCATTTAATCTAGACAATGGGGCTGTTTTCCTCATTTTGGATAAGAAAAAACTAGTTAACTGCCACCCTCAGCATCTCCTGGCTCCTAAATGGCAGAACCTAGATTTGAACCAAGGAGTCTGGCTTCAGAATTACCTCATAACTGTATTCTAGCAACCAAAGATATGCCTTAAAACATTTTTAAAAAGTAGTTTGTTTTATTTGCATTACTAGGGATTGAACCTGGGGCCTTGCATATGGTGGGTATTTACTCTGTCCTAAGCTACATCCCAACCCCTAAAACTGATCTAAATGTTTCTGCATTTATGCTGACATTTTATTAAGTTGCTGGTTTATGAGTGTTACTTCCATATCAATATATAGTGTTAAAGAAATGCAGGGCCGGGGATTTGGCTCAGTGGTTCTGCTGCCTGCCTTGCAAGTGGAAGGGCCAAAGTTCGATCCCTGGTACCAAAAAAAAAACAAAAAACAAAACAAAACAGTGGCTGGGGATTTAGCTCAGTGGTTCAGTGGCCTGCTTTTGCAAGCGCAAGGACCCGAGTTCAATCCCCGGTACCAAAAAAAGAAATGCAGATTGAAGATAATGCTCTTCCCCACCTTCATAATTGGAACCCCAGGCCTTTAGCTTTGGTGCACTTTTGTTTGTTTGTTGTTTTTTGCTACTGGGGATTGAACTCAAGTCCTTGTGCTTGTGAGACAGGCAGTGGAACCACTGAGCTAAATCCCCAGCCACACCCCAGGCCTTTAAATGCTGAAGTCACCTCTGGTTGGTAGGGCTTCACATGTTACTGCCATTATCTTAGAAATTTTCTTAGGCTTTAAAAGAGCCCATCATGTGAATAAATTGGTCTTACAGCCAGAACATACCTTATTTTAGTAACAGTAGAAGGAAAGCACGCAGATATAGAAGCCAGGGGAGGCTATCTGTGTCATGATTCTCAAGGTCACATGGGAAGTTAAGGAGTAGTGGGTCATCACTTTATTGTTAATGGCCATGATGGTGGACCAGGTATTAGGAGAACATGTGTAAGGAACAGAACATTGGGAGGGGGAAAAGATGGTGAAGGAGATTAAGAAGTTAAGGACCTATGACAAGTCACAAACAGTAATCCAGGAAAGGTTAGGAATCACTGCCAGGTGTATCAGCGGGATGAGTTTCAGAAAGGAAGCTTGATGAGCAATTATAGTATTTGCTAAATATCCCTGCCCTTTGAGCCAGCAGTAGAGGGATGTGTATATAGGTGATCATTAGGAATGACCAGATTTACATAAAATAATAAGTAGCCCAGTAAAAGGCAAAAGATACCTTGGAGAAATTGTAGGTTCTAATTCAAAAGTAAATAGGGCTGGGGATGTACCTCAAGGTTAGAGCATGTTCAAGTCCTTAGGAGGCTAAGGCCTAGGAAGTTCAGGGCTAGCCTGGGGAACACAGCAAGACCCTGTCTCCAAACAAAGATAGATAGTCTTAGGATGGTGTATTTCCAAAGAGTGTATCTTTTGTATTTATTACTGGTAAGCTGAAAGACCGGGCTCTTATGTTTTCTTTTTTTTAATAGATGACAAATACGTGTTTGTTTTAAGGGTTAGTTCTGTGCATTCTACCTGTCAGGCAGAGACTGAAACTAATGAGATCTGGAGCACTGATGTGAACTTTGGACATAGGTTTCTTACCTCTGTTAGAGTGAGAATTCTCATTTTGAGAGCATTTTGTAATGTGCTAAAGGATTATATATAAAATTACATCTTTGAAAAACCCTTCATTTGTTCACTAAAAATACAGTTAACCATAAATGTCCGTGTGTATACGTTGGTCCTAGAACATTCTTGGAATTTTGCATTTAACTCTTTAAGTCACCCTTTTTCCTGCATTTCATTCAACCTCTTCTGTAGTTTGTTGAGCTGGGGTCTGGCACTTACCTGAGGCTGCTACAAATAATCATGTAGTTTGTCACATGGACATACCAGTATGTTACACATTTTTCAGTTTTCTTGAGTGCATGAAGTGGCTTGCAAAATGTAATTTTCTAGGCTTCTTTTTTCTTTAAAGTAATGAAATTCCTTTTTCACATGAAGTCAAGTAGGAGTCCCAGTGTATTAAATAAATCGATTTCTCCTCCTCTTTAAACATATGAGGCATTTAGGCATTGAAGAGTTAGCTAAATGATTTCTCCAATGTCACAGATACACATTGATACAACTCAGGATTTGGACTGACAGTTTTTCCTGGTGGTTCTTCGTTTGTTTGCTTTTCCAATAGTGAAAAGGAAGAAGATGATAATGAAAAAAGAGAAGATCCAGGAGATAACTGGGAAGAAGGTGGAGGTGGTGGAGGTATAGAGAAATCTTCAGGTCCTTGGAACAAAACAGCTCCAGTACAAGCGCCTCCTGCTCCAGTAATTGGTAATGTTACTGTTTCTGTCTCAAGACAGCTCGCTAATGCACAGTTGTACATGTCCTCTGCTTTCAACTAAATGCATGCTAATGATGGGATTGAGAGCTCTGGAGAAACTTTCAGGGTCTTAAATGGAAGAAATTTGGAGATTATTTTATTGTGTAAAAATATTGTACAACTTTTGTTTTTCTAAAAATATTTAATGTATTTGTGGGATTCAAACCAGGGTCTCACACATACTAGGCAAGTACTTTTAATCACTGAGCTACACCACCAGCCTAAATAAAGTTTTTGGTAAGTGGAAAACATATGTTTCTATCTATTGAGTATGAGGTAGGAGAGATGCGAAAAGTTTGAAGATCGTGTCCCTGAACTGTTAGGATAATAGAACATGGGCTACTCAGCTGCTGAATATTCTCTCTCTCTCTCTCTCTCTCTTTCTCTTTCTTCTGTTTCACCTGCGTTTTCTAAAAACGGTGAGAGCCTTAATCCATTGATGTGGAAGAAAATGAAATTACGTTATCTAATTGCTTGTTTTTATTTTTTATTATCTTTATAATTTTAAACAACTCCATAAGGATTTTGTTTACATATGGCATCTCAGCCTGTCATCAGGTAAAGAAATGATTATTCATGTTTACTCACAAGGAAATTGAGGGCAAAAATAGATGTTTGTTTTGTTTTTTTGGTACCGGGGATCAAACTCAGGTCCCTGCGCATACAAGGGAGGCGGCGGAACCACTGAGCTAAATCTCTGGCCTTAAAAATAGATGTATTTTAAAAGGTAGCTCCTAATGAGGGCTGTCTCCCAGACCACAGCAGATTCCTTTCCCACTTCCAATAGCAACGCCTTAAAACATTTACATAGAAAGTTCAAATTGTATGTGGAAGAACAATTAGAACACTACCTTAAAGAGCGTTTTCATTTTGTTTCTCTTTTCTTTTCTTTTCTTTTTTCTTTTTTTTCCTGAGATAGGGTCTCACTATGTAGTTGAGACTGACCTAGAACTCACTATGTAGCCCAGGCTGGTCTCGTACTCACAGCCTCCCTAGTGCTGGGATTACAGGTGTGCACCACCACGCCCGGCTGTTTTAATTTTGAAAACATTTCTTCAAACTATTTTTCCTTCTTGTTCGCCCAAAGACCTTTCCTGAATCAGGGATGCTTGTTTTCATAATAATTAAATGATGTGGGAGCACAGGAATGGCTTATATAAATACAGAACATTTGAATGGTTTCTCTAAACTGTTGTAAAATGTTAGTTACAGAAACCCCAGAACCGGCAATGACTAGTGGTGTGTATAGGCCTCCTGGGGCCAGGCTAACCACAACAAGAAAAACACCACAAGGACCACCAGAAATATACAGTGATACACAGTTTCCATCCTTGCAGTCCACTGCCAAGCATGCAGAAAGCCGGAAGTAAGTACCCTGATTATTGCATTTTGTGTGGGACTTCCCAGCCCTTGTCCAGGAGGTGGTGTGAGGGTATGCAGACCCATCTGAGGGAGATTACTCTATGTGCTGATAGGCAGCTGAACCAGGCCTGATCTTATGTACCCAAGAGGGAAGAGGGGAGAGTGGGGAGGCAGTGGGAAGAGCACTAAGGATACTTTATCTGCTGTCAGTCTCTCTAAGTAAGCCCTCGTGTTTTGTGGTGATGGCAAATTGCATAGCTAGAATTCTTTATAAGTACATTATTACTAGTTTATGTTCCTTATAGTATGGAACTTGGGGATGTAGGAGTAGTATTTCATTATATTCCCAGTAAACATGAATGAATTAGGTGAAAGATGTTGGTGTTTATAAATCTAATACTAAAATAATCTTATTTCAGCAGGTACTTAAAATGAATGCTACCTGGAGTTAAATGACCACATGTGGTACATCTACATCTTACTTAGGGACTTGAATTTTTAAAAGTAAATAAAATGGGAAGAAATATAAATGACATCAGATGGAAATTTTTTTTGGGGTGGCTTTTAAAGTAAATCCCAGCCTTTCTGCTTCTTTGAGAGCACAGCTGGCTTGAATTTAAACCTCCACTTGGACTGGCTCCTCTACTCTGTGGTACAAAATGTATAAGGGACCTCTGAGAGGGCAGTGACTGTCCACACTCATCTTTCTTTACCTGATCTGACCTGACCCACTCCCACAAAGCTGAAATGAGGAGAAGTCATTGTCATGAGAACTTTACTTGAATGAGAGAATTGTTACCCTTATGCATAAAGACACATGATCAACTAATTGCTAAAAGTAAAAATGAGTCTTAGGAAGAGTCATTACACAGCTTCTTTCCAGTTGTCTTCTAGTTGGTCCCAAAACAGGTTTCCAGTTCATACTCTAGTAGAAGATGAGACCATAGAGCTGCAGTACATACAGTATTATGTGTCTTCTGTTCAATTGAAGCCTTACAGTGGTTTAGTACTGATTTTATGTACCATTTCTCCCTTCCTGTCTCTCCCCAAGATTCTTCTAAGGGGTGGCTTTTTTTTTAAGGAAGAACATTTTCCAAAAACTAGTGAAGAAATATTTACTGATTACATTTCTTTTCCCTTAGGGATAAAGAAATGGAGAAGAGCTTTGAAGTAGTAAAACACAAAAATAGAGGTAGGGATGAGGTTTCAAAAAACCAGGTCCTTAAACTTCAGCTAGACAACCAGTATGCTGTGCTTGAAAACCAGAAATGCAGCCACACACAGTACAATTAAGGAGTGGTCTTTGCTAACCCCTCTGAGGTAACTAGACCACAGCTAAACCACCAGGAACAGCCATTCGTCATCTGATCTCTGTTGGATCTACAGCAGCCGATGCAGACCATGCAAGTGACCAGCCTGTTACTGCACTATGGAAGTTTAAAGTGTCACAACTGCTCTTTATGTATATTGGATTTAGGGGGAATTTTCATTGTTATATGTGTGAACTAGATTCAACACTTTTTTCATAATCACTCTGCAAATACAAAACCAAAATCTGCAGCCAGTGGTCATTTGAAAAATCTTTTTATGTTCAGATACTGAGCCTTTGTAAGGGTTGACTACCTCAGATTTGCTGCACTCTTTGTGGACTTCATGTGGATCACAACTTCTGGATAAGAAGGTTACAGCTATTAAAAGTGTCGATGTGAACCTTGAAACCAGCTCTCCTGGATTCCTATTAGAAATCCTGCAGAAAGTCAGCCATCTGGGTTCTGATCTGCTGTAAAAGATGAAGATTTAAGTGACCTTAATTAACCTGTCCTGTGCCCTACCCTAAGGAGTACTCTAGTAAGCTGTGGCTGTGTTAGACTTTTGGAACATGCCACTTTCAAAAGAACTGATGTGTTCAGATGATCTGAGTAGGGCTGTGATTTATAATTTCCATTTTTAGTTATAGTCTGAGGTAACTACAAATTAAATTCTACCAAACTTGGGTCCACCAAGTGGGAAAGGGGTGGGGCCGGGGGAATAACTAGTTTCCTTTAGTAGTAGTTTGTTTGTTTTTTTGTTTTTTTTTTTTAATTTGGATAGTGCTTTTTCTGTGTTCCACATTAAGGCCTTTTTTGCTTTGACTTGGAATAAGTTCTTTGACAGAGCATATCGCTTGGTTAAGTAACCTGAAGCATTCAAATTGTGATGTCTCAAGAGTTTGCCAATCCCTAGAGTGGAACCAAATAGCCTTTGATGTAAAGGGCAGTGGATTCTGGAGGCTCTACTTCAGGTGCTGCTTCAGCCTCCTCTAATCAGTCTAAATTGTATAGTAAACTTGTGGAAAGAGTATGGCTTCTGCTCAGGCTAAGGCAGTGGTGGTGAACCTATGGCACGTGTACCACAGCAGGCTGTTTATCACTGAAAGCTCTAAAAGGTTTGCAATCACTAGGCTAAGGGTTTCACTGACCTGTCCTACAGATTTAAAGCCACACAAGCTAAACCTCACCTTTCAGTTTCATGGATTTTGTGTGATCTTTTAGAATTCCATATATACTTGTGCCCAGATTTTTAAGATATTGGCCATTCTGTAGATGCAGTGATTGTCCCAACTAGCTCTGTCACCAAGCCTTGGTTTCTTCATAGTGTTCATTTGGAAAGGCAGGCTAAAGACTTGGATATAGCACTTCTGCTTTTAATAACTGCAGATGACAGACTATCCAGTAATATATAGTTCTTATAAGGGACTTGAAGCTTCTCTGGATTACTGAACTTTTTTTCCATCTAATGAGATAGTCTAGCAGTGTTTCCCCTGGTCTGGTATCTTTGGTTCAGCAGAAGTATTTCATTGTGGTAGTAACCACTTGAATGCAGAGTCTGGGTTTCTCTATAATAAATCCCTTTGCCAAATGCAGGAGTTGCAAACATGCTACTGGCAAGAGTAAAGCAAGTGAGTAAGTAAAACTATCCTAGTGTTGGGGCATTTTCTTATAGGATTTCAGTCTTGAACATGCTGGTGCAGGAATCAGACTGCTTAGGAGGCCACACACAGTGCCTCCTGACAGCCCCCGCTGGCCACTGTGGGCAGTAATGTTGACATTATTTGAGGCGGCAGGAGGTGCGATGCTTGCCTTTTTTGGTTGGTGTATTTGGGTGAGTAGCTGAGCCAGCCAAGGGAGTTTGGATGATTGAAAAATAAGAGACTCTTGGTTAAGCTGAAGACTTCATTTGGGAACCAAAAACAGTAATCTTTTGCACCTTGAGTCACATATTTTCCTTGAAAAGTATGGATTGTCCCACAATTTCGTTGGGAGTTATTGAGAGGTGAAGTGAGATGAATATGAGGTTTTATTTAATGGCACACTGTACTGGAAATCTACCTACAGCAGATTTAAATTCCAGCTCTTGTTACAACTTTAAGATTGTGAAGTTAGAAAAATGCACATGAATCAAGTTTTAATATACTGTACGATGGGTGGATAAGGCAGTCCATTGTACCATTTCTTTCTTTGGATTCTCAGGCATGGTTTGGCAGTGCAAGAACTCTGTAACATTAACAAATTCAATAAAAAGTCAATAATATGGACCGTGGGTTGTGATAGTTTTTATTCCACACCCTTAACCTAAGCTGTCTTTGGAAATGATGCATTGACATTATGCCTCCTTGCTGTGGGTGGATGACAGTGCTGTCTCAGGAGTGGAGTGTACAGTGTTAAAATGACACACAGAAGGAAAATGGCTGCAAACTGATGTGTGTATTCATCTTTGGAAAAGTACTAAATGTACTTTTGTCTGGCATATTTTATTATTGAGTTACCTTAAAACACAACAAAGGTATATCGGATCTCTGTAGACCAAAGATTTGAGGCTTTGTCCCTTGAAACTTTTTCTCAGAAGCATAGTACTAAATTTCAGGATTTTGTTTGGGTTGTAGTCCCTAAACTTCTAAACCAGAGAAGGTGTGTTGTGTATAGTTTACAGTTTCAAGTATATTCTCAAGGTATGCAACCATTATGACTCTTAACTCCTAAATATTTTCATTAATACAAACAAAAAAAATCCTGTCATTTCTCACCCTACCCCAACATCGCTCAGCCCTTGGCAGCCAGTATTCTATTTCTGACCCCTCTAGGTTTTCTCTTCTGGACATTCATATTAAAAAGGTTATAGATGATCTGTAACTGTCTTTCACTTGGCATGTTTGAGGCTTTTGTATGTTGTAGTGTGTGTCAGTGCTATATTTGTATTGGTTTTCTTTTAGTGTGGTACTGGGGATTGAGCCTAGGGCCTTCACACAGCTATGTTTCCAGCCCTCTAAATTTTTGACAGTATCCTGTTACTAAGTTGCTTCGGCCAAATTTGAATTTGTAATCCTGCCTCAGCCTCCCTCTAGTACTGGGGTTAGAGAATGCACTTACATCTCCATCTTTGTTTTTTGAAATGGCTCCATTTTGATATAGCCTAATTTTTTTAATTGCTTCTTTTACCTATCATTTAGGTTTTGGGTCTGTCCTGAGTTAATTTTTAATGGTGTGGGTGTGATTTCTAGAGATCCACATTCATCCTTTGGCAAACAGATAGCCAGTTGTGGCAAACAGATAGCACCATTTCTTGAGTAGACTCCTGTAACTGGCACACTAAAGTTACTTTCTTAGAATGTGAAATTGGCTGGGGATGGGAACATAGGTGGAGATTGGATTGTCAGCAAGCTGGGAATGTGGGACAGGAATTGAACAAGGTCATCAGGCTGTGGGGGTGATTGGCAAAGGAGTGAAGTGAGGGCAGAGTTTGCATTTGTAGAGTACAACCAAATTAATGGGGTATTTAATCATGAGCAGGTATCCTCACTGTCCTGAGACTAGTAAAAACTTTTTAGTTCATCAACCACTGTAACCAGGCATGAATAAGGAATACAAGTTATGAGTTGATTCTCCTGGGCTTGATAAGAGAAGTGAATATTATGAAAGATACCTTAAATAATTAGCTTGAGCATACTTGAATGAAGCAAAGATTTAGGTCTGCATAGGATATGCATAAAAGCAATATAGTTACGCCTTTAGAATTTGCATGTCATAGTACTCTTGTTAACTGGATGTAATGATGGATTAAGTATGTTAGCTTTACATTGTGACAAAGTACTTGGTATAAAGAATTTAAAGGGAGAAAGGTGTATTTTTGCTCACACATTGGAGGTTTCAGTCCCTGATGGGCTGGCTCCATTGATTTTAGCCCATGGACTGGCAGAAAGCATGGTGGAGTGGGTAAAGAAAAGCTGCTCATCTTATGGCAGCAAGGAAATGAAGAATTTCTAAAACTTGCAGAGGAAGAGGCCAGCGAGCATAACATAACCCCCAAATTCATACCCTTCAACCAGGCCTCACCCCTTTCCCTCACCAATAAAACCATCAGATTATTTCAGTGGATTCATTTACTGGTGAAGTTAGAGCCCTCCTGATCCAGTGTTTTCTGGAAATTCCCAGAGTCTCAGAATGTTTCTCTAAAGGCCTAGGTATTTCTCAGTCCAAGATTAGTGATTACAGTAGGATTTAACCATGTTTAAGCAGTCTTTAATCCCTCAATTTAATATTTTGAGCTAGTCAAAGCATACAGCCCAACATCTACAAAAATAAGATCCTTTGTCTAAATATTACAGAAAAGAGTGTAGGTGTGAGACCACAAGCATTCCCACCAAGCTGACAGCTTTGGTGTCTGGTGAGAAGCTGTTTAAATAGATTTAACAATGATGGGAAAAGTTGATTGCAAGTACTTTGTGCGATCTACATTTTGTATTTTCATTTTAGGAAACTTCTATGGCAAGCTTTGTTTTCTTTGAAACCTGAGTTTTTTTAATTCAAGCTCTGAATTCTAGATCTTGGCATATTTTACTGTCTTAACCTTGTAACAAAAATGATGGCATAATGTCCTCCCTCAAGGGCCATACTAATCGCCTCTGTTTCATTCCAGTTTTAGTGTACATACTACTGAAGTGAGTATGGTGTAATTTACTGTAACATCTATTTGCTGCCTTTTCTGGAAAGCCCAACCTAACTTCCGGCCTTTTCTTTGCCTCCTTTCCCCTCCCTGCCCCTTTCATCTCTTTTCTTCCTTCCTGTTGTTTTTTTGTTTGTTTGTTTACAGGGAATTGCTATATAGTTGTCTGTCCTCAAACTCACAGTTCTTCCTCTGCCACCTGACTGCTGGTATGTGCCACACCCAGTTTTGTGTTTGGTCAGCGTTGGGATTGGACCCAGGGCCTCATGTATCAAGCAAAGCTCTATACCAGTGATAGTGAACCTTGTAGAGCTTTCGATGCAGCAGTCCGCTGAGGCATGCACACCATAGGTTTGCCACCATTACTCTGTACTGAGCTTTACCCTGGCCCGTCACTTTTTATCTTTGTAGGGAAGCAAGATGTACAAAATAAAGCGTTGTTTTGAATGTTAGCCTGTGGAAATTAAAAATTTACTACCAAGAACAGACTGTCCAGTTTACACAACATATTTATCCCTAAGCAGTATTTTTTTATTTTTTTAATGAGTGGGACAACTAATTGTAAGATTGCCCATATTTCTCAACCTGCGTCGTTTTGGAATAACTTGGTATCTTTAAAACTATGTCTGACCCACACCTCCAGACTTTGGGGGGGGGTACTGGGGCTCGAACTCGGGACCTTGTGAGGCAGGCGGCAGCACCATAGACATTTACTTTATGTCTGACCCACACCTCCAGACTTTGGGGGGGGGGTACTGGGGCTCGAACTCGGGACCTTGTGAGGCAGGCGGCAGCACCATAGACATTTTTAATTGGTATGGTGTGTAGTCTGTACAGAGGTTTCTTTTTGTTTTAAAATTCTGCAGTTAATCCTAGTGTGCAGCAAAATTGGGGAACCAGCTGGATTATGTCAAAATAAAAATTGTCTCCTTTGTTGAGTGTTGGAAGGCAGTCACAAGGCTAGTTTGAGTAGGTAGAAAGTCCCCTAAATTGTATCTCTATCCCAGAAAGGATTAATGTATCTCTAATGTTATTGTTACTGGGATCTGAACCCATGTCCTTCCCCCTGAGCTCCATCTCCAGCCCTTTTTATTTTGCGATGGTTTCACTAAATTGTCTAGTCTTGGCTGAAACTTGAAATCCTCCCACTTCAGCCTCCTACAGTTCTGGGATTACAGGCAAGTGCCACCACACTCAGCTTCTAAATGCATTTTTGAATAAGTTACATGAGCAAAAATGGATACTCAAGAGTGTGGGGGTACCAGTAACTGCAATACTAAATTCTTTTGATATATAGATAACTATCAATATGATTTCTGTAGCTGTTCATTTCCTTCTGTAATACAGTACTTGTATTCTGTTTGGCTTGTGCCTTGACACTAAATCTCTTACCATTCCAGAGTTTGCTTACTGTAAAGGTTAATGTTTTGCACTACTACTGGCCACTTTTAAAGAACCCTCCCATCTGTTTTACCCAGTTACACCTGAATTTTAAGTTTTGTTTTCTACAGTTCTGTGAATTGAGCCATTATTAATTTTACCAGAGATCAGTGTGACAGCTACAGAAACTGGGACTCATCTACTTAGGCATTAGCACTGCAGGCCCTTACAGGGCCAATGCCAGCTCTGCAGGTCACCTGACTCACCAGGGCTGCCTTCCAAAGGTCATGTAGTTGTATGTCAGCATCCTTTGTTTTAATGGGGTCTAGGTATGGAACAATATCTTAGGCTTGTCTTTGGTTTTAACTTGCTAGGGCAATTATGGCTTGCTTTGACATTTATCTGGTTTTATGGTGCAGAATTATGCTGCTTTGAGTATTGGGGGTGAAATCCAGGGCCCTGTGCATGCTAGACAAGCACTCATGATGCAGATATATCCCTAGCCCTTTAAAAAATTATTTTGAGATAGTTCTCAAACTCTTCTTCAATAAGTTGACGTGTCTGGCCTCAAACTTGGGATCTGCCTGCCTCAGCTTCCCAAGTAGGTTACAGGTAAGCACTAAATATATGCCTTTAATTAGGGACTCCAAACTTTTAAAAAATAGCATCATGGTAATGGGAGGTGAAAAGCAGATGGCAAATTTCTCATACAGTATCCTTTCATTCTCCCCAACTTTGTTTTTTTAAGCCCTAGCTTCAGCCTGGCAAATATTGACACAATGGAATTTTTAAAAAATTCTGATCTTTAACCCTTGGCTAGGCGTTGTTCTAATCAGGTTAAGAAGTAGCAAATCCTGACAGCTCCTTAAGCACAGGAGAAATTAGTGGAAGGTTAAGTAGCTTGCCTGAAGTCAACAGCTAGCAGTGCAGGAGCCCTGGCTCCCACATGAGTGTTGTGACTCCACCATGTTCTTAAGGAGAGCTTTACTTCCCCTCTTCTCCCCAGATTTAAGGAAAGAGAAGGAAAACAGGAAACAAGTGTACTTTGATGCAGTTTTGAAAGCACAATTTCCCTTCCCCATCCTAAGGCTGACATGGCACAACATTCTGCCTTTAGTCTCCTGAGTGCAGCAGAAAGTTCTTAAGACTGGGGTAAGTTGTGCTGGCCTGGTTTTAAGTGGGGGGTGGGGATTAGAATGTTTTATGCTAAAAATTTACAGTATTACAGAGAATAGTATAAACCCAATTTCAACAAACGTCAGGTTGTGACAACTCAGCCTGAGAATACCCTCCCTGTTTCCTGGGTTATTTTGAAGATAACCTCAGACCCATTTCATCCTAATTTTGCCAATAGATACTTGGGGGTTGGAGGAGTACTGGGAATCAAACCCAGGGCGTTCTCACTGAGCTGACCTGCAGCTCATTAAATTTTTTGAGACAGTCTCCCAAAGTCACTAAACTGCCTGGGCTGGTTCAGCTTTTCAGAATGCTGGTAACACTGGCTTACCAATGGATGCTCTTAACCAAGTTCATTATCATACCAAAGGAATATTTCTATACTATCCAATACCCTGTCAGTGTTTATATTTCTCTGGTTTTTCCTGGTGCTGCTTTGCCCTTGGTTTATTACTTTGGAGCAAGACAGACTTGGGTGACTCTTAGTTTGCAGCCTTCTAAGATCCCCCTAATTTCCCTGCCTTTTCTTTTTGAGTTAATTGAGGAAACCTGGTCATTTGGCTTATAGAAATTTCTGCATTCTGGATTCAGCTGATTGCTTTTCTTTTCCTGTAAACAAGTATTGTGCCAACTAATCATGCTAGGAGCCACCGAATTCACAAATATAGGTGCGAATCAAGAGATTCTGGGTTTCCATGCAGGAAAGATTAGGTAGGTTTCTATGCATAACGATGTTGGTTGGATTTAACCTGTATCTCCTGCTTCCCAAAACGGGATCCTCTGAGGTCCAAAAGATGCTGTCTTAAAGATATGAGAAATATGTTAGTGACCGAGCATGTGCATCCTCGAAATCTCTGGTTTCTATCCATAGCCAGGTGCCGCTGTTCCGCTGAAATGGGCTGATTTCTGAGCACAAGATCTCAACAGCAGAGGTCTCCATTAACGCTACTCGGTGTTGCCAGGAGAGGGCACTGTAGAGACACGAGAAGGTTAGAGTAGACAGACACTTGATTCCTGGTGGTAGCTCCTAGCGTTCACGTGACAGTTCTCATGGCTCAGCAGCCCCACACCTCCTGCAAAAGGCCCTCCGCACTCCTAAAGTGGCCCCCAGCGCAGGCTGTGCTCCCCAGCCTGAGCCAAGATTTTCTGGAAGTTTTACTGCAGTGGGCTGAGGACTAGTCTCTAGCAAGTTTCTTTACTAAGTCTGGGGAAGAGCGGTGGCATCCTCTCCTAACAGTCCAGTCTTTCCCTGCTCCCTCGGTGTTAATGATGGTAGCTGCTTTCTGCAATTGCTATTTTTATATTTTTAGTAGTTGCCTTTTTTTAATGGAAACACTGAGCTAAATCCCCAGCCCCAATTCTTTTAACAATTCTTAATATTAAAGTTTCTCATGTTTTTGGTCTCGTCTTAGTGTTGGCTAATTATAGAATGTAAGATCTGAAGGCCTAATCAGTTTGAGTCTAACTAATGGGAAGATGGGCAAGAAAACTCCTCCGTGTTCTGTTGTCCAATGCAGCACACCAGGGCCCTGCACTTCCAAGGGAGCAGAGCTCAGGAGCTGTCAGCTTGTGCCATCACTATAAAATTCCCTCTGCCTTCTAAGGAATGTTTTTTTTTTTTTTTTTTTTTACTGTTTTCAGTACCGGGGATTGAATTCTGGACCTTGTGCTTGCGAGGATGTTGGCACCACTGAGCTAAATCCCTGGCCTGTTTTTATTCTTGACGATCACTGCCTAGATCTACGAGCAGTGGGAATTGTAAAATCATGTGCTGCTATAATTTGACTTAGAAGTATCCGATAAGAGAGCTTTTCCTCAGATGTTACCCTGAAATGAGGTTCACAATAGGCCTAATTCTCACCTTTTACCAGTTTCTACTGCACTTATTTTGCGTGTTTTGAGACAGGGTCTTGCTATGCAGTCCAAGTTGGCCTAGAACTCATGTACCTCAGGCTTGCCTTGAACTCATGGTAATCTGCCTGCCTCGGCCTGAGTGCTGGGATTAGAGACATGCACCACACCTGGCTTTTGTTTTCTTCCTTAATGAGACAACTACCCCTGCTTAGCATTCTCTTCATGAAAGAGAACATGGTTGGTGGCATCAGGACATTCGTAGGCAAAGACCCACAAGCAGAACTGAAATGGCTCATGGAGGGTGCAGGAATATTATGGGTCTGGGACCCAAACTATAATGGTCTATACTTTTGGCAAAAAAGAGTAATTACATAATTTTATCTGGAATTTTAAAAAAAGCCAAAACCCCAAGATCATATTGTAGCAAGTGTGTTCAAGTTGTTTTGAGGGAGAAGAGCCAGGTGTGGTCACACATGCTGTAATCCTAGCACTAAAACGGCTGAGGCAATAACAACTGCTGGTTCAAATATTTATTTGTACTATGTATCGTTTTTCTTGTCAAAAGTGAACGAAAAGAATACATCTGTAATCCCAACACTCTGGGAGGCTGAGGCTAGACTACAGAGGAAGTTCAAGGCCAGCCTGAATTAGAGAGAAATCTTGTATTTAAAGGGGAAAAATGCTCGGCATGGTGGTGTACACCTGTAATCCCAGCACTTCGGAGGCTGAGGCAGAGGATCGCTGCAAATTTGAGGCCCACCTGAGCTATACAGAGTTCAAGGTACATAATTCAAGGCCAGCCTGAATTATAGTGAGACTCTGCCTCAAAATAAAGTGGGGGAAAAAGGGTACAGTAACTCTTTTATGGAATTTTACTGCATATCTATACAATGATTAGTTATCATAAAATGCCTCTGATGAAACTAGCCCTATGTAGTTTTAGAGGAGGACAGTTTACAAGTGCTGCCAGTGTGAGCACAATTTGTGGTGTTCCTGACCGAACTAGCTCAAGGCTTGAGGGCCATGTGTCCAGTTTGACATTTCTCTCTTCACTGCTTGAGTTTGCCTTTCAAAGAAACATTAAGGAATGAACAGTTTACATCAAAATTATGTCTTAACAGCCAGGTTTGTCCTTCAAATAAGATGAAGTAGCTCTTAGACTATGGCGAACCTTTTAGAGCTTTCAATAATACAGCCACTGTGGCATGCATGCCATATGTTCACTACCACTGACACAGTACACAGGTGTTTAGAACAAAGACTGATGTAATTTAGTGGCTCCAGTAGGCGTTTAGAAAAGCCTAATAAAATGTTATGAATAAATAAATGTAATTAGCAATTCAATTTTTAAGTGAAGTTTTACCAATTTTTATCACTTCAACAAATCTAACCGAACACATCTTAATACTAATTTGAGTCATTGCTTTTATTCTTTATTCAAGCTTTGGTGCCCAAACTTGGCAAACATCATGAAGGTTTATACAAATATGCATATATACAACACATGTATTTAGAGCCCCAGAGTCCTCTTTAACCTTGTGCTCAGGTGCCTATTAAACAGGTAATGACGAGAAGATAAAAATCAGGGAAACATGAAGAAAAAACCCAATTGACAACTTCTGTTTTCAAGAATTAAAGGAGATTATTTTGGAGCAAAACTCATCACTGTGCAATCTCCACTGAGCTACAGCATCAGATACAAGAAAAATAGCCCCTTACACCCATCAGTGTGCTTTAAAAACAAGACAGCTAAGGAGGTGCACTTTGTTGTTAATACTGGTAACTTTTTAAATTAAGGAACAGTATTTCAGTGATTACATTTCAGATGTTAAAAACTTCAAGTGGGATCATTACTTTCTGCGGCAGGTCTTTAGATAGTTGTCTTTATTGCATAAACCCATCACAGTAACATCCAGGCCATAAACTTAAACATTTAATGTTTGGTAACTAAGAGTAGTTGTATCAGTGTACTCTAGACCGCTTGATTTTATTCTTCTCTGCAGGAGCTTTCCTCTTCTGTGATAAGCCAGGTCCAGGTTCCTTACTATTCTGGAGAAATGAAACAGCTTCTGGTAGACAGTAATTTTCTACAGGAGGAGGAGATTCCTATAAAGGGGAAAACAAACATTTCCTTTTCAGATTTCAAACTTTTAAGTAATCAAGTAATAGATGACTTTACTCTGCTATGCTTTTTTTTTTTTTCTTTTTCTTTTTGACAGACCTGGAAATTGAACCAGGGCTTTTCCATTGAGCTGCATTCCCATCCCTTTTTATTTATTTGTTTATCTTGAAGCAGAGTCTGCAAGTCAGTTAAGTTGGCTAGGTGGGGCTCAAATTTGTGACCCTCCTGCCTCAGCCTCCCAGAGTGTTGGGATTACAGATGTATTCTTTTATTTCACTTTGACAAGAAAAACAATAATACATACTCATTCCTTGCCCATAAGCACAATATAGCTAGTAAAAGTATATCAGAAAAATGAGTATGCAGCTCTACAGGTACAGTGAGGCCATTTCAGACCTTAACAGTGGTTTCACAGGTAAAATAAGGCCTAAATATAGTCAGTAAATGTCATTTAAATATATGTTATTAGGCTAGCAAATATATTATGCACAAAATTTTAAAAGGTTAATGATACTCAAGGTCACATAATTAACCCCTACTCCCCAGAAGACCTAGGTGCAAAATACTCAGCCTTAAACACCAGAGATCACCAGGGATTTCTCAGTGGCACTGTGCCTGCTTTGCAAACACAAGGCCCTAAGTTTGATCAAAAGGCCAGACATCAAGAACGCCAGCCCCTTTTTGATCTCTAGTTTTCAAAGCTGATTATTTTCCAGTTAGGTCTTATTTTCAGGAAAACATAGCATGTAGCAGAGTCAAAATTCAGACTCTTCACCTGACTCCAAAACCCCTTTCTCTTTCACAACCAGTTTCTAATATTGAAAAGATTTTCCTCCCTTACTATTGAGTGTAATAAAGTTTAATTTTCTGAGAAACATGGCAGACTGGATAATGAAGCACCACAAAATAGCAAGTAACTGCCTTTTGATTCAGTTGTTCCACAGGTAACAATTCTGACAATATATTGGAGGCAACTAAGATACCCAAGAATAAACAGATCAAGTAAACACCAGAGGGAGTTGACATTTGGAAGAACACCATGGGGCACATTTCCATTTTCTGCTTTTAGTCTGAGGAGAGGCCCCAGTTTGTGGTGTGGGATGGCTACAGTTCTAACAACGATAGCTTGAAGATACAGACAAGATGGCAACTGCCACTCAGAAAACAGAGCAACTAGGGAGCCCCAGCCCGTGAACAGAACCTGCACACACCTTTGCTTGACCCCTAAATCATGTGCAGAATTGACAGGAGCTGAGGCTAAGGAAACCGACAAGATGCTCATGAAAAATCAAAGATCTAAATTCATAGATATGCCATGTTGTTTTGAAGACTCACACTAAAATGCAATCTGAATTCATCTTAAGATTAATGCAATTCCTACCAAAATCTTTTTGTGTGGATAAACCTACTTTAAAATTTATATAAAAAGGGCCATGTGTAGAAATACATCCCTATAATCTAAGTACTCAGAAGGCTAAGACAAGGATTAAAAGTCTGGGTGTAGCTTGAGCAATTTAGCAATATCCTATCTCAAAATTAAAAGAGCTGAGGATGTAGCTCAGTGATAGAGTGTGTGCATGCAAGGCCCTGAGTCCAGTCCTCAGGATGGGTTGGCAAGGGGAAATGGGATGATAGCTGGTAGCTAAAATTAGAAAACTAATAGAAAAAAAAAAAAATTAGAGACATATTGGCGCCCTAGGAAAACAAAAGTTTCTCTTAGTAAGAAACAAAAAATCGTGAAGAAAAAACTGCTTAACAGCATTAGTCATCAAAGAAATACAAATGAAAGAATCATATGATTTCACTAAACTTACCAGATGGTTAAAAATCAAATATATGTCAACACCAAATGTCAATTAGAATATAAAACAACTGGAAAGCATATATGTGCACTGCTGGTAGAAGTGTAAAATGGAAATAATCTTTTGAGAAAAGGCCTGGAAGTTTCTTAAAAAACTAAATACATACTTATTATATAGCCTGGCAGTTCTACTCCTAGATATTTGCCTGGGAGAAATGAAAAAACATACCCTACAAAAGTTGCTTTTATTTAGTAGTACTGGGGACAGAAACCACAGTCTCACACATGCTTATCAAGTGTCCTAGAATTGAGCTACATCTCACTACCTCTTCTATTTGGGATAAGGTCATGCTAAGTTATCCTGGCTGGTCTCAGCTTTCAATCCCCCTGCCTCAGCCTTCTGCATAACTGGGATTACATGTGGTTGCCATTGTGCCAGTTAATACCCCACCCAAATAGTCCAGGAATACCATCAATAGGAAAATGAGTAAAGTCTATTACATTCAGACAAAAGAATATTATCATGCAATAAAAGGGAATGAACTGATATATACTGCAATTTGGATGGATCTAACTATTGTGCTGAGCAAAAAAAAAAAAAACTTACATAAAAACAATATGTACTGTATGAGTCATTTATACGAGGCTCTAAAATAGCAGGGAAACCAGAACAAAAGTTACCTCTGTGGGGCTGGTACAAGGATTTGAGAAGGTACACAAGAAATTTCCTGGGATAACTGCCATATTCTTTATACTGATAGGATTTGTAGTGCACACATGTATCCATTTATCATAATACTGAATTGTACACTGAAGATCTATGAATTTCATTGTACATTAACTATAGTACAAGAATAGTAAATACTGTATTCCACTTGATATATATACATGCTCAGTATTTGATGAGGTAAATATACTGGTATCTGCAACTTTGAAATGTATGAAAAGTAAGATGGGGCTGGGGAGTTAGCTCAGTGGTTCCACCACCTGCCTTGCTAGCTCAAGGTCCCGAGTTCAATCCCCAGTACCAAAAATATGTAATAAATAAATAAGATGAACTAATGGGGATATATGAATGAAACAAGAGGGAAATACAAACATTTGGCACCTTATAAATGATAATAAATACTACTGGTCCTTACCCAGAATGATCAGGAATTCCTAGAAGGAATGAGATATGGTATACGCTCTCAACCCGTCCTTTCTCACATTAGGTAAATTTTTATAACCCCACATGTCTCAAAGTGAGACAGGGTTTTATAGGTAGCTTAGCTGGGCTTGGCCATGAACTCGTGGTGATCCTCTTGTCTCAGCCTTCAGAGTGCTGGGGTTACAGGCATGTACCACCTAGCTTAACACATCCAGGACACAGCTGTAATTCCCATGTCTCACTGGCAGGCAGCTCTGAGCCCTTGGTGGTAAATGCATGACTGCCCCATTGGTGACACGGGACAGTCCCACTAAGTGGTACAAACACTTGACAGTTATGCATTTACCACTGGTGGTTCAACCTGGTAGGAACATGTTAAAGAGTCTTTTGTTTTTTTGGTTTTTTTTAACACTACATTTAGGTGTTCAAGTAGTTATTACTGGGTCACTAATTCCTAATCAGTATGTCCACTTTATGATAAAAGCTTCAAATTTATGTTTCAGGAATTTCTTCTCCTCTTATTTTGTTTTTTTGAGATAGGGTCTTGCTATATAGTCCAGGCTGGCCTTAAACTCACAATCCCTCTACTTCACCCTCTTCACTGCTAGGATTACAGGTGTATACTGCTATACCAGGCTTAAGAATTCTTTCTGTTAAACCCTGAGCAACCTCACAAGCAGCGAAATCATAAGGGAGGAAAAGTGTTAGTCTCCCCTTACTTCTACACTACTCCATTTTATGGAGGATGCATTTTTTTTTTTTTTTTTTTTTTTTTTTTTTGGTACCAGGGATCAAACACAGGACCTTGTGTTTGTGAGGCAGATGGTGGCAGTACCAGTGGGTTAAATCCTCAGCCCTACATTTTAAATCCTTGGTAGTAGGATGCTTATAACTATATAGCATGGCCTACTGGTTCCTGCTGGCCTCTCTTTCAGGCATTCTGGTGTTAGGAAGATTTTTCTTTGCCCATTCAAAAGCACACAACATAGGCCAATTCTAAGTGTATGTGTGCAGGTCTCCCAGATAACCAATGCTTTATTTACCACTGTGTCTAACATAGATATTTACTGAATATCAACACAAAGGTCAAGAAACTTTAAAAAGGGCCCTTGGGTAAATAATTCTCCTTGGACACTCTGAATCAATTTCTGCTTTTTCTTTTTTTGGGGCCAGGGTGTCAATATGTACTTCAGGTTGTCCTTGAACTCAGTTTGTAGCCTACACTGGCCTTGAACTCACTGTGATCTCCTGCCTCAGCCTCACTGGAGCTGGGATTACAGGTATAAACAACTGCACCTGGCTATGAGCTTTTTTTTAAAAATTTTTTTAAAAATAATTTATTTTTAAATGTTTTCCCTTCCTTTTCTTTCTTCCTTCCTTTGTTCTTTCCTTTCTCTCCCTCCCTTCCATCTGTCTGTCTTTCTTTACCAGAGATCGAACTCGGATCCTTGTGCTTGCAAGGCAGGTAGGTGGCAGAATTACTGAGCTATGTCCCCGGCATCTGCTCTTCTTTTATAGCCAACATTTTAAAGGGAAATTTAAAAGCTTTTAAAGGTATTCAGACTTTGTAACTTCTACGCTGAATGCTTCCATGTATCTTTTTTTTTTTTAATTAAAGATTGCAAACACACATGACACCAAGAAATGAAGATACTAAATAAAAATTTCAAATATACATATGACAGCAAAAAAAGGATATGAAATAAACAAAAATTTATGCAACACAGACTGATAATCCAAATACATTATTAGTTTGATATGATCGTCAAACATATGTTCTTTCTCATTTTCTTTTCGTGTAATATTTTTGAAATACTGTATTTACAAATAAAACAGTTACATATTATAGTTGAGAAACTCCTCAAAATTTTATGATTAATAAACTCCTTGGTTTTATTAATTTGATAAATATCATATGCTTGTTGATTGTATCACTTACATTTTCTAACAAAGCTTCCCACAGAAAATATACTTATATTTGAAATCCAGAAACTAAAAGAGTTCACATTTTTAAGATTTAATTTTTCTGTTTCTTATTATATCCCATACTTATTTTCCATGTGTCTTTTATAAAAAATGGAATGAACTCAGAGGCTGAACGCAGATAGCAGGAGACTAATGTTCTATTAGGAACAAGACAGGGTAGCATATCTGGTAATGAGGAAACCAAATACAGAATATTACAAACCTGCATGAGATAATCGGCAATGTATTCTGTTCTCAAGCAGTACACATTCTGGGCAGCAGCTTCGGCTATATTAATTCTTAAGTCATCTGGTTTCAGTTTATTAAAGTCAGAAAAAAGATGTGTGGCCTCTTTAAATAAAGGTGGAGAATGACCAGGTAGTACCTAAGAAAAAAACAGTAACTATCAAAGTCTACCAGTGTCCCAAAGCAGTTCAATGGCATAGAACTGATTACAGTGATCTTCATTAGAAAATAATTCCTGTCCAAAGCTGAGTGAAGTTTCAGTACAGACCTTTGCTCCTCCTGACTGAAGAAGACGTTTGAACCCTGCTTCTCGGGACTGGTCAACATGTAAAATGACCTTCCATCCACTAAATGCGCCCTAGAAACAAAAAAAAAAAAATATCACTGTTGAAATCATATGAAAAATAAATGACAAGATACAGACAATGCATTATTTTATCTATAATCAATTTTATGTCAACAACTAATCTTATAACCATCACTTTGCCACTCTATACACGTCTCTGGTCAGAATAATCTGAAATACCCAGCCATACTATCTGGTACCCATCAATGAATATTCAAGGAACAAAGAAAACCAATAATATGGTAACATTAAAACAAAACAGTTTGATTTATATTTGCTTCTTTCTAGTATTTTTTTTCTTAACATTAACTGAGCATAGAGCTTAAAACACAACTTGTTAGATTAGATGAATACTTCATTATATTTCTTTTAACGTGCTTGCAAATTAGAAATATAAAATAGTATATTTTGGGAAGGTGGGCATGATGGTGCACGCCCATAACCTACTTATAATCTAAGAGGCCAAGGCAGGAAGACCACAAGTATTAGCCTAACATGAGCAACATACAAGACCAAATCTCAAAAGGGGGAGGGGGCACTGGGAATAGAGCTCAGGGAAATGGCCTTGGGTTCAATCCCCAGTTTAAAACAAAAGTGAGGAATAAGATTTATCAGAAACCAAAGAACAGCTAAATAGCTCTGAAAGAAAAGACAATCAAGACTAACAAGATTTGGAGATACCAGATTACTTAGTATGTTAAGATTATTTTAATTCAGTTGTTCTTAGCCTTTTGGAAGTCTGGTGAAACTTATGGACCCCTTGCCTAAATAATTTGTTTTTGTTGGTACTGGAGAACCCAGGGAACACTAAGCCATATCCCCAGCCCTTTGTTATTCTTTTGAGACAGGGTCTCCCAAGTTTCCCATGCTAGTCTGGAACTTGGAATCCTCTCGCCTCAGCCTCCTGAGTAACTGGGATTACAAGTGTTTACTAACATGCATAACTTCTAAATAATTTTTTAATTAAATGACAGCTTTACTGATATAATTCTGATACCATAATGGTAATTATTTTTTCCAGGACTAGGATTGAACCTAGGACCTACACAAAGCTATATCCCTAGCCTTTTTTTTTTTTTTTTTTTTTTTACTTTGAGACAGGTCTTGCCAAATGCCCAAGGTGGGCTCAAGCATGTGATCCCCCTACCCCAGCCTGTTTGAGTGCTGGTGTGCACCACTGTACCTGCTGTGGAAGTTCAAAGTATAAAGAAAACAGATTTAGTGTAAGTTATCAAAATATTAAAAACAAATTTTTGCTATAATGTGTTCTCTATCAATGCATTAACTCAAGAATTAATGTAGGGTTTGATAACTAGTATAATTTTATAGTAAAGGAACATACAGTACTTTAGGATACTTGAAATTATAACACAAAATAAATATATCTGACTTCTGTTAATGCAAAAATCACAGGTACTGTTAATAGTATGATTTGTAGACAATATGATCCAAATTAGAAGACCCTAAAGACTCCACCAGAAAACTTACAGCTGATGAACATTAAAAATTCACTAGCTTTTCTATACACCAATAATGGACTCAGAAATCTAGAACGTAATTCATGAATTGGCAGAGGTAGTACTGTCAGTACACCCATATCACTAAAAGCAACCTACTGATTTAATGCAATCCCTATCAAAATTCCAATGACAAAAAAAACATTCCAATGATATAACAATCATAAAATTTGTATGAAACACATGAGACTTAGACTAGAAAACACAATCCTGAACAAAAAGAGCAATGCTGGAGGCATCATAATACCAAATTCAAATTATACTACAAAGTTTTTGGTACCAAAAACAACATGGTACTGACACAAAAAAGACATGCAGACCAATGAAACAGAACAGAACAGAGGACATGCACAATAGTTATCTGATTCTGGACAAAGGAGCCAAAAATATATGTTGGAGAAAAGATAGACTTTTATTTTTTTGTTTGCTTTTCTGAGACAAAGTCTATGTAGTTCAGGCTGGTCTTGAACTATATAACCCAGACTGGCCATAAATTCATAGTGATACTCCTGCCTTGGCTTCTTGAGTGCTGCGATTTCAGGCACATGCCACCACGAACTCCAAGACAGCCTCTTTAATAAGTTCACAACAAAGTATATGTCTCACTGCTCCAAGGCTCTGATTTGAATTCAGTCATTCCCGCCAGCTTGAACTACCAGTGGTACACACATGCCTGTCTCGTGAGGTGGCTTGTACTATGTCTTAGGGGGCCTCTGATTACACCAATGCAAAGAAAGGCATTGATTTAGCAGACCAGATGCCATCATATTACAGTTCCTTAAGGAAAACATTAAAATGGTATGAAAAGTAATATAGCTATTTTGTGGTACAGCATTTGTAGATGTGTGTTACATATACCAGCAATGGGGTACTTATAAGATTTCCAATTTAAAATTTATAGAATATTGATAAACAATGAATAAATTTAATGAAGTATGTTTGTTGAGCACTGTAAGAACTTTTTAATTGTTATAATAGTATTAATATTTACATCTGGGCAGTGATTAGTCAGGCAATGACAGAAATGTCAATGCCCAATGGGGGGGCGTCACACATGCACCAGTGGTTCAAGCTGGCAGGGTGTTATCTTACTGATCCTTAGGGTGTGTCAATATTGTTTGTATCTGATGCTGTAATTGGTGCTGATTTTATTAGCATAGCCAAGTTAACATAGCTGTTGCTAATTAACTGGTTTTCGTGGGATGCCATCTGGTTTGCCTTGGGGGTCATAAAATACCGCAGCCCATTCCTAGAGAGCTGCATACTGGGCCAAATACACTGCAATCTCCCATCTCAAGTAAATGGAGGTGGCTAGAACCTGGGAAAGATGAAAAGGCCAATAGCCATTCCTAGAGAATACCACTAAAAACAAGACATTAACTTAAGTCACTATACTAGAAACAAAGCTTTCCACTACAATCAACACACACACGCACACACACACACACACACACACAAATAGAAATATGAGAAGACAACCAATAACTCCTATCTCTCCCATGATCCATGGAGCATCAAAGGTAGGAAACCAAAGCCACAAACCCCTATTATTCAAATGATATCACAGGAGATTAAACAAAATATGGCATTTGCAAACTCACAGAAGATATGTTAAAAAGATATTGGACCAAATAAGACTGTAACTCCACAGAGGGCACTAATAAAAACCTAGAAGACCTAAACAAAATGACACAAAACATGAATGACCACACCAGCACAGAAAACATTTATGAGTCCATAAAAGGGCTCCAAATAGAAATTCAGGAGATTGAAAATTCTATTGAAAGTATGAGCAGCAGAAGTGACCAATGTGAGGACAGAGTTTCAGAACTACAAGACAGGCCTGTTGCTAGTGACCAATTAATGACAGATATCATAAAAACAAAAAGAGAACATGAAAAATAGATCAAGCAGCAGCTAAATGACAAGAGGACATACTAATTGGCATTAAGAAAAAATCAGATATCACAAATGCCACAGAAAAACCTGTTTACTGAAATAATAGCAGAAAACTTTCCCAATTATGCAAAATAACAAATGAGGCACATAGAACCCAAGAAGTCACAAGAAAAGAATTTCTCCATGATACATCATAATCAAAATCCCAGAAATCCAACACAAGAACAGAATCTAAAAAGTGAGTAGAGAAAAGCAATGAACACAGAGACACCTATTAGAATTACAGACTTCTCAAAACAAACTATGGAGGCCAAGAGAGCTTGGAATAAAGTGTTTCAAATTCTGAAACAATTTCCAACGGAGGCTAATATATTTTGCAAAGCTATCTTTCAAAATTGATAAATAAGGCACTTTCATGATTAAAGAGCACCTAAAAAATTCATGATCACCAAACCAGCCCTCAAAAATTTCTCAAAGACACCCTAGAAAGAGACAAGCTAACAATGACAAAAGGCCTAATAGAATGAATATACCAGGTAGGGTGAGCAGTTAAGCAGAAGGGAAAAACGGAATCAGCAACACGAAAATAAGGCCATGACAGAAATACAGTGGACCCTCAAGTTATGACCCACCTGACATATGAACAACTTGGGTTAATTAGATTAACAGATTAATCTGCCTCTTGTTATCTATAGCATGTACCCAGGTAAACATCCAGATCTTAGCTGTATTGACTTATAACCAACATAAGTTACAACCAGCCCTTTGGGAATCAATTGAGTTCATAAGTGAAGGGTCCACTGTAAGTCAATACATATCGGTATAACTCCCAATTTTAATGGGAGTTAATTTTAACAGTATGCTGTTTACAAGAAACATATTTAACCCCCCCCCAAACCCTCAGATTAAAAATGAAAGGATGGAAAGCAATTTTCCATGCAATGGGAACCTTCAAAAAACCAGGTGCTGCTATCCTATATTGTGACAAAACTGACTTCAAGCCAAGATCAAGACACAAAGAAGGTCAATATATACTGGTGAAGGGATAACCCAACAGGAAGAGATAACAATAATTAACATATGCACCAAATAACTGTGCACCCAACTTTAAGTAATACTGGACATAACAAACCAGACAAACATAAATACAATTGCTGTGGGGGACCTCAAAACCCACTAACACAAATAGATTAACTAGATAAAAAAAAAAATCAACAAAGAAATATCAGAGTTGAACAAAACCTTCAAAGAAATGGACTTATAGATATCTGTAGTGTTCCACCAAACAAAATATATGTAACATTCTCCAAAACAGACCATACACCAGCCAGCAAAGCAAGCTTTAGTAAATGTAAAAGAGCTGAAATTACACCATGCATATTATCAGTTCATAGCACAATAAAGTTAGAAATCAATGAAAAAAGAAAACACAAATTATGTAAATGCACAGATGCTAAACAGTATACTCATAACTAAGCAATGGGTTACAAAAACAGTCAAGGAAAAAATAAGACAGTTTCTAGAAATAAATGATAATGCCAGTACAACAAACCAGACCTTCTGCACCACAATGAAAGCAGTCCTGACAGAGAATTT